AGTTTTTGTTGTTGCTTTATAACCAAAATTGGTACAGGCCACCAGTAAGTGTGGATCAGGTAACACCTGCAGCATGAAAACTTGATGTCTAAAGTTACAAGCTCTAGTTCTTAAATTTATACAAAGTACTTGAAATTTTGAAACAGCATAGTGGTTTGGTATAGCCTCATTAGTATACTACTATGGTTCTCAAAGTTTGGTCCTTGGATCAACAGTATCACTTGTCAACTTGTAAGAGGTACACATTCTTGGTCCTACCCCAGACCCAAGAATCGAACACTAGCTCTGGGGGCCAGCACTCTCGTAAGAAGCCTTTCAGGTCATCCTGATGCATGCTAATATTTGGGAAGTCCAGGAATTGTGATTCTGGTATATAAATTTGTAGTAAGTTTTCCATTACCAGTTTGAATGCATTCTACCTGATCAAGTTTGAAAATCAATATGAATGTTGGAAATGGACACTAAAATAATGAGACCCAACCTTTATGCCTAGAGGTAAGTGCACCTATGACCCAGCCCGTGAATTCTACAGAAATCATGTAAGTTACACCTGATGTAATTCAGAGTTCTTATTCACTATGTGTTTGCAGATTAATTTATAAACTTTGTATAACCTCAAACTTTTTACAAAACTACATTTTTAAAATAAGTATGCAAACTTGCAAGGTGAGAATAAAACTTTTGTCTGATAGTTGATAAATGTAGCATTTATACTGGCATTTAGTGAGTCTTGCTCCTAATTTTATGGTAGGTATATAAACTGTCTTGGGCAGACCGGTTCATCTTTTGAGTGGATTTACTCATTTAGCATGCCTGGTCGTATATTGGAAGTTTCCTCATTAATCCTCCCCCAAGACTGTGGTTATGAAAATAAAAACTTAGAATTCTAGCCCTGACAAGTTTGGTTCAGTGGATGGCACTTCACTATGGGTTCAGTTCGTCAAGGACACATGTCCAGTTTGCCCACTCGATCCCCTTAGGGGGCATGCAGGAGGCAGCCTATCAGTGATTCTCTTTCATCATTGATGTTTCTGTCTCTCCCTTTCCCTTCCTTTCTGAACTCACTAAGAATGTTTTTTTTAAAAAAAAACCTTAAAATCCTATAAGCAATGGAATTATTTATCCAAAGGGAGTTCCAGGGAAAGAATGACTTAATTTTGCTTTTTTTTAAAAAATATATTTTATTGATTTTTTACAGGGAGGAAGGGAGAGGGATAGAGAGTTAGAAACATCGACGAGAGAGAAACATCGACCAGCCGCCTCCTGCACACCCCCCACTGGGGATGTGCCCGCAACCAAGGTACATGCCCTTGACTGGAATCGAACCCGGGACCTTTCAGTCTGCAGGCCGACGCTCTATCCACTGAGCCAAACCGGTTAGGGCTTAATTTTGCTTTTTTAATGACAATTTGTGGTCCTTTTAAGGGTAAGCTAACATAGTACTAAAGGAGCACTACGATTTCTTGCTCTGAAAGCTCATTACAAATCTATAATAATAAAAGCATAATATGCTAATTAGACTGGACAGCCATTCGGAAGACCTTCCGGATGAAGCCAGGGCTGCAAGGGAAGCCCGGGTCCTGGGTGCCAGAGGGAAGCTGGTGCCAGCAGCCAGGGGAAGGAAGGCCTAATCTTTCGTGAGTTTCATGCATCAGGCCTCTAGTATTTAGATAAAGGATATATTGGGCTTGTAGTTTAGGTCTGGGACTTAATGTTGAAATCTAAATTTGACTTAAAATATACCACATGAAATCTGGTTAAAGTACTTTATTGATTACAATATCATTTCAGCCAACAATATTTCACAGAGCTACTGTACAAATACAGGAATGAATCACTGTGCAAGAAAGATCCAAGAATACTGTTAAATCGTGGAACAAATCCATCTTTCATTTGGTTTAAAGCTTGTACAAGAGCTTTAATCTAGTACATTCACCTCTCCCATAGCTATACTACTGACATCCCAAGTCAATTGGCCACAAGTGTGTCAAAACGATTCTAAGTGAAGAAAAACATTTTAATCAAACTTTTAAAAACCCACTTAAATGTGAATGCCTTTGAATAAGAATATGCAAATGCTTCTTTGCAAAGAAAACAAAAGGATAGAGCACCATTGTGTGACAGACATCAAAGGCTGGAAGTACCAAGTATATCTCCAAGGTTCTATTAACTAAGAAATAAATACTGTATGATTTTTTTGTCCGGCACATTGAACACCAGTTAGAACACAACCAGTTTTTTTCATAATGCTGCACTGTCTTTTATAGGGTAATTGGATTAAGGAAAAAAAAAACGACAGGAAATTTTATTAACATGCAAACAAATGAGCTAAATACAAGTTGTACCTTTACTCTTTAAAACAGTGCTAAGACATTCAAATACAAACCATTTTCATGAGTACCTATGGTAACCAGTATTTTTAAAAACACTAAATTTAAGGCAACTAAAATTGAACGAGGGAAGAACTAGTAAGTATAAAGTACTTTACATTCTACTTAATCAAATTTAAAATGCCAATTTTATCATTGTGCTACCTTTCCTCACAAGAAAGTTTAGCTAGTGGGTCTTAAAAATTCTAACAGGATGGGAGAAAGTTTAAAATTTTGCTTTCCACAATGGTGAAAGGGGAACTAGAAGCTGAACATAATAATTAAAAAAAAATTTCTTTAAGCCTGACTCACACCCTAAAGACTCTAGAAAAATAAAAAATAAAAATCGTAGAAAGGAAATTATTAAAATAAGCTTTTGGGAGGTTGTTTAATCAGTTTGTATACATTTACTATTATATACATCAACAAATAAGTCACAAGTATTCAATTTTGTTAGTTTTTAAAAAATATATTTTATTGATTTGAGAGGAGTAGAGAGGGAGATAGGAACATCAATGATGAGAGAATCATGTATCAGCTGCATCCTGCACGCCTCCTACTGGGGATTAAGCCCACAATCCAGGCATGTGTCTGACCAGGAATCGAACTATGACCTCCTGGTTCATAGGTCAATGTTCAATCACTGAGCCACACTGGCGGGGCTTGTTATAGTTTTATAATGTGGTACATTCACAGTGTTCAAAGCATAAGCTTCCCTGAAGGTTTTTGCTTTTAGAATGGTCAGTCGGTATTATTAAATCTAAGACCTCAAAAATGCCAGAAAAGGTCAATTATATAATATTTCACAGTATCTTTTTTAACAGTAATAAAATTTCACTTTCTCACCTGGATAAGTCAAGATCCATCAGGTTAACTTTTAAATTGCTTACCCCATACTCCAGAAGCACCTATATTCCTTATGTCTAGCAGACTACACTTTCGTCACATAGTATTCATCAGTTCAGCTGAATCTAAATTAAAAAGAACTGCTTGCTATTCTCTTATAGTTGAAATATTAAGCCCAAATCTTTGCCTCTATGAAGATGGAACTCAATATGGTATGTGTAACCTTGGAGTCATAGGTATAGAAATATGAGCTAGGGAGGGACCTAGCTCATGGTAACAAGAAGTCCTTGAGCAGGTTTTTGGGTGATTTAATCACATGGCAGGTCACTATTTTAGAAAAGAATGTATGCCTTTAAAATATTATTACAGAGAGAAAGGGAGAAGGATAGAGAGTTAGAAACATCGATCAGAGAGAAACATCGATCAGCCGCCTCCCTCACACCTACTGGGGATGTGCCCGCAACCAAGGTACATGCCCTTGACCGGAATCAAACCTGGGACCTTTCAGTCCACAAGCTGATGCTCTATCCACTGAGCCAAACCAGTTAGGGCTAAAATATTATTTTTAAAAAGTTCTTGTTAGATCTCTAAAAACAACTTTATGAGGTGATTAGAGAGTCTACAAATAAAACTGTTTCTTATAAGGTAAAAAGAAAAATAGGGCTTAGTTAACTCCAATATACTTTTTTGTTTTTTAGTCCTCACCTGATTATATTTTTCCCATTGATTTTTTTAGAGAGGGGGGTGTGGGAGAGAGAAATATCAACGTGAGAGAGAGACATCGATTGGTTGCCTCCTGCACATGCCCCAACAGGGGCCGAGACCAACCTGCAACCAAGGTATGTGCCCTAGTTCAGGAATCGAACCCGTGACCCTTCGGTTGGCGGGCCAGCGCTCCAACCCCTGAGCCAAACCAGCCATATTCTTGATAATACAAATTCTTTAAAACTACATTTGGCCATATTTTTTAAGTATTCAAAAACTAAGATTCAAACTACAGTGTTTCTACAAATTATATATTGTTTTTTTTTTACTTCAGGAAGTCTCATGAAAACAGAATTAAATAATCAGCTGAACTTGAACTGCAAGTAAATATATTTAGCAACTGGAATCCATATTACTAGAAAGCAAAAGCTTAGCAAGTTAATGTGGTAAGGAGGTAACCATTTGGTCATAGGTAATTAGCCACAATCTTAGTAGGTTTCAGTTACCTGGTACATATTTAATTATGGGAATTGATTTTCAACTATCCACATAAACTGACAGTAAAATAAATCATTTTTATCCACATGTTTAAGACCATAGAACTATAGTTTGTGTGCCTATCACTAAAGTTCCTAGAATAACTTTTAGAGAGGATACGCTCTCTACACAAGGCTATTTTGCACATGGCAGAAGTGCTGAAGATTTTGGAATGAATTCCTGAATTACATGGCAAACCCTCACCCCCTTTTGGAAATGCATATATTGCTTTAAAATACTCTTGCCTAATCTCAAAGAGCTGCTCTTTATGTAGTCCACAAGTAGTAATAGCAAAAAGTTCATAGAAATCCATGTATAAATGAATATACGTTCATGCCTGCCATCTACAAGTATGTTTTTTTGGCCCCATATCTTAATCTTCCTTTATTCATTTTATTCTCTTTTTAATATCAACTGATGTTAAAACTGACTTCATTATAGTTGGTGCACTTACTAGCACATTCACAATATAAAAATGAGAACTGACATAAAAAATGGGAATATTTAGGATTCCAGGTGATCAAAAGTTAACAGAGACCTATCTCAACAGTAAGTGATAGTTTATTGATTTAACAAAACAGTACACTTCTATAATGTATCAGGATAACCCATGACTTCACCATCAAGCAAGACTAACCATCTTCCCATGTCAGTCATTTAGATTTATTTGTAGGAGAAAATCCAAGGGGGAGAGTATCTTTGTTTAAATCCAGGAGGGCTCATTCTAGTAATAGACAACATTTTATTATACCATTGACAAGCAGAGGAATGAATTGCTTAGTATTTTCCTCTGACTCCTTTAAGTACTTACTCTTGGAATTTTCCTTTTGGCTTTAAAATGGAGCCACTTGGATCTAGCCATTCTTCAAAGCAGAGCCACGCCACTTAGAAACCAATATTTTGTGTGAAGGAAAAATGTTACAGAAGAGCAGAGCTTTAATGTTTCCTTTTTAAAATTTGACAGTTTACATCAATTCAGATTTCATATGTGTGAACATAAATTCATAAAGCCACCCTGTCACAACTATAACTACTCAGATCTAGTGACTGGTTAGATTTTACACTTTTCAAAACCATGCTGTCCTGTTTCCTTAGATGTAGATGCACACTGACAGGACACTAGGAAAAGTTCTTCAGGTGCAAGGACAATCCAAGTGTTCATCCATGTCCTGGAATAATGAGCACACAAACTCAGTTCTAGAATATGAGACCAACTATTCAGAGGATTACTCGTGTGGAGTGTTATTTGATCATAATCTGCTTTTTAAAATGCCAAGAATCATTTATATGAGATTATTGCTGTCTTCCTATTAATAAAGTTTCTTACATATGTCTAAATTTTCAGAGTGAAATCTCTATCCCCTACCCTTCAGATTATCTTCCCCTCGAAGGACTGAAAATGAGCACTTATTTAAATTGATAGGAGGGCAAAGGATGCACCAAGAAACTAATGATACTCAAAAGGGCTCTCAGGCACCTACCTGTCAGCATTCTTAATACAGTAAGCAACCAGGATCTTTTAGATCAAAAAGGGAGGTCAGAATTCAAGGAGACTCTTCAAACCTAAGGACAGACACATGGTATTACCTCCATCTATTACTGTGTCTGTTGCCTCCATTACAGAAATAAAAAATGTGACATTTCTGGTGTATACAAAGTTTAAAATGAAGTTCATAAATGAAAGCAATCAAACATGATAGGTTGCTATAATGTATACATTTTGTTCTACATAAAGAAAACAATTAGTGAAAGTAAGACTTCAAGGTTAAATGAGCTCAATGCACTGGTCCTTTTGATCTCAGCAAGCACCTTTGCCTTGTTTTTTTATTTTTTTTTCATCCTTTTCTGTTTTGTAGTTTACTGAAAGCTCCCTTTTGTATGTAGTAATCTCAATAGAAAAATTTTCAACAGCAAGTATTAGAATTTCTTTTATCACAGCTATAGGCTGTAGCACTGATTTCTCCAGATACCAACAGAGAACAGCAAAATTGTATGCACTGTTAATTCCAGATTCTAAGAAAACTGTCCCAAGAGCCTGTTGCCACAGCCATGCCATCGTCAGTTACACCCAGACAGCTGACCCGGTTGTCATGACCAGCAAGAACACCTGAAAAACAAAGTCCAGTAAATAGCAATGGCAAGTTTTAAATTCAAGCATATGTTTAAAAATGTAGAAAACACACATTTTTGTTTTGTTATGGATGCTAATTGATTCAACCCAGGCAAAACACCTAATACTTCCAAAAAGTAATTGGCTTTGGGCAACAGAAAGCTCCAAAATGCAAACTGTGAACTTTTCTACAATGTCTTAAGAGAGGTTGTAGAAAATTATCCCTGGGAATTTTCATGTTGCACTTTTACTCCCTCAGGAACCTCAGGAACTGTTTAGGAATGTAAAAGGGTCAGGACAAAAACCCACAAAGACAGTAAGAGAATGAAAGCAGGCAGTGGCTACAAAGCTGGATGGTAGGGACTGTCTTAGTGGACCTTAAAATGCTCAGTTCATGGCAAATGGTCTGGTAAGCCAAGAAACAAAATTACACTGCAGAACCTCCCAAAGGGTCAGGTCCTCGTGAGCCCTGGCATCTCCGGAACCAGGTGGCGGCAAAGATGGGGTAAACTAAGATGCTAGAAAGTGTTCAGGAATCGGGCTTCCCAGGTGTCCTGCACTGCAGAGCCAGGTGACTCCAGCGTGCACCAAGACATGAGGCTATAGAGCAGTGGTTCCCAACCTTCTGGCCCTTTAAATACAGCTCCTCATGTTGTGACCCAACCATAAAATTATTTTCGTTGCTACTTCATAACTGTAATGTTGCTACTGTTATGAACTGTAATGTAAATGTCTGATATGCAGGATGGTCTTAGGCGACCCCTGTGAAAGGGTCGTTCGACCGCCAAAGGGGTCGTGACCCACAGGTTGAGAACCGCTGCTATAGAGACTTATTTGCTAGAGAGTAAAGAAGAGTCTCTTAAAGAAGAAAACAGGCCCAGGTGAGATTGGTGAAACTGCTGAAAATGGGGAATGAAGAAAGTTGACTTGCTAATTGTTTTACCACCCAGCTTTCCTCCTGAAATCAGCCCTAAACTGGCAGCCAGTTTATCCATTCCAGGGAGAAAAGTGGAAAATCCATCTCAGAGAACATGGCCACAAGGACCATGAATAAGAAGAGCTGGGCTGCCATTCCCTAGATCCAGGTTATCCAGGAGCCTCCAACAACAGTCAGGAACCTTTCATGTTCCCTGACAAAACCCAAACGTAATGTGGCCGTAGGTACTAACCTGCACGATCTCCTTTTAGTGTGTCCCACACGTTACAATTGAAGTCGTCATAACCAGCTAACAGGAGACGCCCACTTTTTGAGAAGGCTACGGAGGTGATCCCACAGATAATATTGTCATGAGAATACAATAATAACTCTTGGTCTGCACGAAGGTCAAAGAGACGGCAAGTGGCATCATCGGAGCCAGTGGCAAAGGCATAGCCATTTGGAAAAAACTAGAAAGAAAAGCAATAGACGTATTCCATGGACATGTACAAAAACCATGTGAGACAGTGTGATAAACAGGCTCTGGGGGAAAACAGACCTAGATTCAAATTCCAACCTGGCTTCTTACCGGTGAGTGCTGTTGGGCACTAAAGATTCTTCAACACTTTGGGCCTTAGTTTCAGTTTTAGAGAGTGGGTTAAAATTGAATGAAATGACATATGCCAAGTACACAGCCTACTGTTTAACACATAGCAAGTAATTCAGTAAATATTAGCTCTGGTCCTCCATATGTCTTATTAAAATATTTAAATATAAATATTACTATTTACAGAATTTATATATGTGTACTCTTTTATTTTTTTAATCCTCACTTGAGGATGTGTTTTTACTGATTTTTAGAGAAAGGAAGGATAGGGAGCAAAACATCGATGTGAGAGCAGAACATGGGTCAGCTGCCTCCTGCACACTTCCTACCTGGGATCGAGCCCACAACCTGGGTATATGCCCTGACTAGAAATCAAACCCACAACCTCTTGGTACACGAGATGCACCCAACCAACTGAGCCATACTGGCCAGGGCTGGGGTTTTTTCTTATTTAAATCAAACCCCTACTATTTGGGAATTCAATGTCATAAGAGCCCATTATTTATAAGAATTTATAAATTGTAAGAATCCTTGAAGGCAATGTGTTATGAAAGTCATGCTACAGAGTTCGTACTTCAAATGCACAATAAATGTCCCTTAGAAATGCTATTCACTTACACTGACAGCATTAATATCTGACACATGTCCAGAGAAAGACTGTCTACACATTCCATCTCGAATATCCCATAACTTGGAAGAGGCATCACAAGCACCAGAAACAAAAGTCCTCATGTCAGGACTCAGAGAAAGACTCATCACATCTCCAGAATGCCCAGTGAATGTGGTGGTCTGCTGGGCAGTTTCAATGTCCCATAGGGCACTGCAATTAAAAATGAAAAAATAATGACCATTATATCTTCTTACATTAGTTCCTACTATCACCCTCAACACCCAAATCAGTGTTCTTCTGAAATAAACTTACCAATTTGTATCTCCTGAACTTGTAACAATTTGGCTGTCATCTAAAAAACGGCAGCAGGACAAGTAGCCTATAGCATAGAGAGTAACATATTTTAGGTTATCATTGATCAAATAACCCAATAAGCAAATTAAATACTAATATACATACACAGTTAGAGAGAGAGGAACATCTATTTGTTGTTCCACTTACTTATGCATTCATTGGTTGCTCCCTGCATGTGCCTTGACTGGTATCAAACCTGCAACCTTGGTGTATCAGGACAATACTCAAACCAACTGAGCTACCCAGCCAAGGACAAATACTAATATATTTTGTTAAGTATATAATACCTGGGCAACAGTGTTTTTGAGTACATTCTACAGTTCAAATTTTAATTACTTCAAACTCTATACTATCTGAAACATCAACCAACTCTTTTAGGTATTTACTATGTCAATGACATCATGTTGGACACTCTCTAAAAGTTACAATTTGAGTAATACGAAGTCCCTCCCACCTACTACAATTACCTGAGAGACATACTCCTCTCGAATGTTTATAACAGGGGTGGGCAAACTTTTTGACTCGAGGGCCACAAAGGGTTCTTAAACTGGACCGGAGGGCCGGAACAAAAGCATGGATGGAGTGTTTGTGTGAACTAATATAAATTCAAAGTAAACATCATTACATAAAAGGGTACGGTCTTTTTTTTTTTTAGTTTTATTCATTTCAAACGGGCTGTAGTTTGCCCACGGCTGGTCTATAATCTATGGCAGATGGGATTAAGTACCTTGGAGAAAGATTAAAAGTACTGTGAGAAATTAGAACCACCACCCCAGTGAAGGCTTCATGAAAAAGGTAGCATTTGAATGTTCAGAATTCACCAGTATTTCAAAATATGAAAATGGCAGGGAAATGCCATTGTAGAGATTTTGTAAAAAGCATGGTCAAATAGTATTGCAAGGAATTCAGAGAGGCAGAAACCCAATGAGTGGCCAAAAATCATAATAAACACTGCTAACCAAATGCGGTACCACTGAATTATGGTTTCCTGTGCACTCTGGAGAATAAAGCAATGTGCTATCACAGTGAAAAACACTTTATAAATGTTATCTTATATAATAAAAACCTAATATGCTAAGTGTCCGGTCGGCTGTTCAACCAATCAAAGCGTAATATGCTAAAGATATGCTAAGGCCGCTCAACAGCTCGCTATGACATGCACTGACCACCAGGGGGGCAGATGCTCCAACCAATAGGATAGCTTACTGCTGAGGTCCAGCCAATCGGGACTGAGGGAGGCAGGCTGGACATGCCCTGAAGCCCTGACGCAGTCCCTCTCCGGCTGGCCAACCTCCTGCATCCCTCCCTGTCCCATTCATGCATCGGTGGGGTCCCTTAGCCTGGCTTGGCCTGTGCCCTCTCACAATCCGGGACCCCTCGGGGTATGTCGGAGAGCCGGTTTTGGCCCAATCCTGCAGGCCAGGCTGTGGGATCCCACTGGTGCACGAATTCGTGCACCAGGGCTCTAGTCTTAATATATACTTTCAATTACATAATCAAGTATAGATGCCAAAACCCTGTGATGTTATATGGTTGCAGAGAATACAAAAAATATTTGCTTTATTTTGTATTTTCATTATTGTGTAAATTTTTTGCAATAAATGTATCACCCTTACAAAAATACCTTTTAAAGAAAAACAGGACAATATTCAGTGGAGCTCACCTATGTGACCTGGTAACTCTCGGCTCACTCTCACATTTCCCTCTCTGGTCTTTAAGTTATATATAGAGCAGATGTTGTCCAGTCCTCCACAAGCCACATAATTACCAGAGGGGGCATAAGCACAGGTCATCACCCAGGAGGACCTCAAAGGAATGGCATGCATCTGCAGAACAAATGAAATACACAAAATCCATCACTAAGGAACGACAGTCATTTATCTTCCTGCCTATTTACGAAGAAGCAAATATTATGAAAAATTAAATGCATCTAAAAATTAAGGCAAAATAAAGAATGCAATGGCTTGGAAAAGAGAACACTGAAAAATAAAATACTAATGCACACTGAAATACCTATTTCTGAATTATAAATAATTCAATTTAACTGCTCTTTTCAGAAATTATTCTTTTAAGAAAAGCAAGAACAAGGATATTTCAATGCAATATAACAACTTAAAATATTAAATGTAAAATGTTAAAGGTAAAAAATGTAATAAAATTCTTTGTTTTTGCAGTCCTGTGCAAAAGAGGAATTTCCTCCAATATAACATGGAGTAATATAAGTATCAGAGTCTATTAATATGGTTCTTCCATGAAGAGATGGTTCCTCTAATCATAGGCTCGAATTTAAACAATAGAGTTTCCACTACCTACTCATACCACTGTCTGGTGCCTTCTTACCCAACACCAATCATTTGCAAGGTCAGGCAGTAAAATTTAAGGTATATGGGACTTCTAAGGCTAAGTGGTCCATACAGAGAATCAATACACTGCGTGTGATTACTGTGCTCTCACTTAACTTAAAAAAATATCTTCAATACACATTTTTGTTTTGTTTTAGGAAAATATAATTGAAAGACCCATGCTTAATGCCAATTAAAATAGAAGAACTGTTATAATGCAAATCTATCTTGGCTACTTTTAAATTCTCAACAGGCTGAAGATACTGTTTACTTCACAAAACAATACTTTTTAAACTTTAATAAAAGGGTACACAGAACCTAAAGGAATTTGACCTGTGAAAGTTCTCCTGAAGCTTTTCCACTACCACTCAGCACCTGTGTGTCAGGCATTCCTTCCAGTGGACACGTGAGGGGGACCTGCTGGCTTCCCCAGCAAGAGCTCTAAGCAAGTTGTCCGCTGTCTCTTCTGAGCAGCCCACACACACATCAATGCCTAGCGTGGACCAACGAAAAGCCTCCTCCCCCACAGCTAGAAATAAAAATCTCAGGGTCATGGTCACATTGGGGAATTGGAATTTGTTTAGCAAATTATTTCTATGTAAAACTGATGCACACTCTTTTCTAATATTCAAATATGAAAGTCTAGTAAAACACATTGAAAAATATTCCTGCAGTTGTCCTTGAGCATGAAAATGGGGCTGAATATTAAAATAAAGCCTAAGCTTCAAGAGAGGATCTAGATTAAAATAAATAGAATAAATTTATCTTAGAAGAAAATTACAGAATAAAGGAAAGAACTGATGAACATCAAATCAAATAATAGGTTACTTAAGAGAATGATTAAGAAATTCTACCTTATTTGTTGTATAGCTATCCCAAATAATTAATTTTCCATCCTGGGAAGCACTGACTAGTAGCCTAGAGGAACAAACAAAAATAATTTGACACTTAGAGGAAAAAAGTAGTTTAGATTAGTTATGCATGGAATTAATGTAGAACAGTTCAGAAAATATATATATATAATTTCTTGAATTAAAAACTTGATACCAGAAAACAGCCCTCCAACTTTAAAAGAAATGTATTCTGCATGCCAAAATTTTCATCATAACATAAAAATTTAGCAAAATTTAGACATTTTACTAAAAATGTCAGGTTATGATTCAACTTTTTCATGGTGACAGCATTCTGGATTCTTATTCAAGATTCTGGTAAGTATTAGCTGACTGGTTTGTGTTTAGTGATATAAATTTAATGACAATGGAGTAGATGTAAGCCTAAAAACCGTATTTCATTCAATCAAAAAGTATCAATTGAGATGTGAAGGTAGTGTTATGGGTACACACAGAAAATACTTCCTACCTTTGAGGCCTCCACTACCTGGTAGATAAGATATTTACACATATAAGAAATCAAGTAAGTGAAAACTGTCAGAGGAGTAGCAGAAAATAAATGCCAAACCAAAGCAAAAGATGGAAAAATAACTGCTATTTGAATTAACCAAGTAGTCTCACAAAAGAGAATGCATCTTGAAAAATGTAGTTTGTAGAGCTAACAATACATATGTACTTCCATCCTTTGTGAATTTAGGTAATAATTACAGAAATATCCAGGAACTTGTACATAGCTATATTCAACAATATTTGTTTATTAACTGAAATTGCAAGGTTAATATACAATAGAACTGCTTTTGGCATAGTAAACAACAGTATTAACACCCCATGCAAAGAAAAGAAACCCTAAACAGTTTACCTGGATAATTTAATAATGGATATTTTTGAGAGATAAATTTATTTCCATAGTAAAGGTTTCTAAACCTTTAAAGTGTCACTGATTATTTTTAATGAAAGCAAAGTCTCATATTGGATGCATTTTCTGCAAACATTTCATAAATATAGTTTGTTTACTAACTATAAAATTATTTGTTTTAAAGGAAATGCAAATGGAGATTCTTAATGAATATAATTCTGCGGGTAGTTTGGAGATAGCAGGTACAAACCTTGAGTCATAGCCCCAATGCATGGCATAGATTTTAGCGAGGTGCCCCCTCAGCGTACGTCTTGTTCGCATTTGTATCCGACCCACGGAATCCATATTTGATGTGATCTTTAGAAAGCAACATAAATGTTATTCTTTACCTTAGACATAGCTCAGAAAATAAAGAACAATTAATAGGCAAGAAATCAGGTGTAAGAAGGGATAAAAAATGGCAGCGGAGAGGAGGATGCTGAACAGACATGCTCCCAGGAACAAGCTGAATTACAACTGAAATACGGAAAGACTTTCTGAATAATCAATGGAAAACTCACAAGAAAGAACCCTGATACCCAAGGACCGAAGGTGGAGACCACACAGAGACTAGTAGGAGGGGTGGAGGCACGAAAGGGCTGGCCAGGCTCCCACAGACAGGCAACTGAAGCCCCAGAGAGATAGCTCAGCTGTGGGGGGGAGGGAGGGTGCCACTGAGAACTCTGGGATCTAATCCCGAAGCTGGGCTCCCCAGCAGAGAGCACCAAACTGAGGAGGGTACCCACATAACATCTAGCTGTGAAAAGCAGTGGGGTGCTATCTGCCAGGGAGTGGCAGCTGAAAGTTCGGGCACCACCTTAAAGGGCCAACACACTAAATTCCCTCTGAAGCCACCCACCTTGTGCTCCAGCAGAGGAAGGGTGAAGCAGAATGGAGCTGTGAGAGCAGGACTGGGGACTCGGGGAATAGAGCTAAGAAGGCAGACACCCCAAGATTCCTGGGCTGAGTCATTCCCTCATACAGCTGAGGACATCTTTCCCACTTAGACATCTGCCTTGCCTGGGGAGAAGAGAGTCGACACACCCTATTGGAAAACACCTTGCCCTGAGGCCACTTAAGAGATTAAAAGTAACAGTTAGCCTCCAGGCAGAAGAAACTGCCCCACCCTGTTGAAAAAACTTTCACCACACCTGAGAATGATTGCCTGGGAGCAATTCAAATCAGAATCCTATTAGTCTGTAGGCCAGCGGTTCTCAACCTGTGGGTCAAGACCTCTCTGGGGGTCGAACGACCCTTTCACAGGGGTCGCCTAAGACCATCGGAAAACATATAATTACATATTGTTTTTGTGATTAATCACTATGCTTTAATTTTGTTCAATTTGTAACAATGAAAATACATCCTGCATATCAGATATTTACATTACGATTCATAACAGTAGCAAAATTACAGTTATGAAGTAACAATGAAAATAATTTTATGGTTGGGGGTCACCACAACATGAGAAACTGTATTAAAGGGTCATGGCATTAGGAAGGTTGAGAACCACTTCTGTAGGCAGTGGCGGTCTCTGGAGGCTTTGAGTCTTTGCCTGATCCAATTAGTCAGAAACATCCTTTACACTGTCCTGCACTAGAGATTGAGAGGTGTAGAGGATCTACCTAAAACATAGTCACAAACCCAAACAGACAACCAAAATGAGGGAACAAAGAAACAACCCCCAAATGAAAGAACTAGCGAATTCTCCAGAAGAAGAGATAAATGAAGCAGAGATAAGAAATTTATCTGAAACAGAGTTCAGAGTAATGATGTTAAGAATGCTCAACAGTATGAATAAAGATATAGTAACTATGAAAAAAGAACAGTCTGAGATAAAGAATGACATAACACAAATAAAGAACACATTGGAAGGAATACACAACAGATTAGGGGAAGCTGAGGGTCAAATCAGTGAATTTGAATATAGATTTGAAAATATCACTCAATTAGAGAACCAAAAAGAAAAAAACAATTAAAAAACAGGAGGACAGCTTAAGGGAGCTGTGGGACAATGTGAAATGTAACA